GGGGGACCTCAACAATGCCCAGGGTTGAAAGGGCAGGCGCTTTCCCACATGGCCCATGAATGGAGAAAAGAGCATGTTGTCCTCCAAATAGTCCGGGGTTTTGTTCTCCTCAAATGCCAGAAAAGACCATTCGTCATTGAGTTCGAAATCAGCGACCGGATGCAACGTTTGCCCTGCGGACACCATTCCCTTCTCAGCTTTTTATGCCCAAGATTGTAGTATAGTATATTATTGCATAAAATGGGATAATTTAGTCTAGTCATAGTATAGTAGGTTTAGTATGATATGATATGGCATGGCATGGCATGGTATGGCAAAATATAGTACAATATAGTATATTATTGTGTAGTGTAGTGCAGTGTTGTATTGTATAGCCTAGCCTAGCCTTGTATATTGTGTAGCATGCATAGTATAGTATATTATGGTATAGTATAGTATATATGGTATGGCAAAATATAGTACAATATAGTATATTATTGTGTAGTGTAGTGTATTGTATAGCCTAGCCTAGCCATGTATATTGTGTAGCATGCATAGTATAGTATAGTATATTATGGTATAGTATAGTATATTGTTGTATAGTCTAGCCTATAATATAGTGTAGTATAGTATACTGTAGTATAGTGTAATATGGCATGGTATGGCACAGTATAGTATAGTATATTATGGTATAGTATAGTATATTGTTGTATAGCCTAGCCTAGTATTGTATACTGTAGTACTGTGGCATGTTATACTATACTGTAATATAGTATTGTATTGTAATATTGTATAGTATGACATGGCATGGTATAGTATAGTATATTATGGTATAGTATAGTGTACTAGCCTAGCCTAGCCTAGTATTGTATACTGTAGTATTGTGGTATGTTATGGTATGTTATGGTATGGTATGACACAATATGGTAAGGTATGGCATACTATACTATACTATACTATACTATACTATACTATACTATAGTGTTGTATTGTATTGTATTGTATTGTATTGTATTGTATTGCCTTTCCTAATATTGTATACTGTAGTATTGTGGTATGGTATGGTATGGTATGGTATACTATACTATAGTGTTGTATTGTATTGCCTTTCCTAGTATTGCATACTGTAGTATTGTGGTATGGTATGGTATGGTATGGTATGGTATGGTATGATATGGTATACTATACTATACTATACTATACTATACTATACTATAGTGTTGTATTGTATTGTATTGTATTGTATTGCCTTTCCTAGTATTGTATACTGTAGTATTGTGTAGTGTGGTATAGTATGGTATGGTATAGTATAGTGTAGTGTAGTGTTGTATAGCCTAGCCTCGCCTAGTATTGTATACTGTAGTATTGGGGTATGTTATGGTATAGTATGGTATGGCTTGGTATGGTATGGTTTGATATTGTATTGTATTGTATTGTATTGTATTGTATTGTATTGTATTGTATTGCCTTGCCTAGTATTGTATACTGTAGTAATGTGTAGTGTAGTATTGTGTAGTGTAATACAGTATGCTGTGGTATGGTATATTATGGTATGGTGTATTATAGTATAGTATAGTATAGTGTTGTATTGTCTAGCCTAGCCTCGCCTAGTATTGTATATTGTAATATTGTGGTATGTTATGGTGTGTTATGATATGGTATGGTATGGTATACTATACTGTATTGTATTGCCTTGCCTAGTATTGTATACTATAGTATTTTGTAGTGTAGTACAGTATGCTGTGGTATAGTATGGTATGGTATATTATGGTAAGATATATTATAGTATAGTATAATATAGTATAGTGTTGTATTGTCTAGCCGAACCTAGTAATGTATATTGTAGTATTGCGTAGTATAGTATGGTATGGTATATTATGGTATAGTATTGGATAGTATAGTATAGTGTTGTATTGTATAGCCTAGTCTAGCCTAGTATTGTATACTGTAGTATTGTGTGGTGTGATATGGTATGGTATGGTATGGTACATTATGGTATAGTATTGTATAGTATATTATTTTATAGTACAGTACAGTACAGTACAGTACAATATATTATTCAACAGTATTGCACAGCATAGTATTATATAGTTAGTATAGTATAGTTCTTGATCTCTCAAAAAATCTGTGTGGCTTATTGATGTCTGAGCACAAAACTCCCAATTTAGATTAGTCCCAAACTACATTATCGGGTCAGTGTAAAAACATATAATGCCATTCAATGGAGTTCAAACTGGATCTATACTGACTGTATAACACAGTTCAAATTGCATTTTTTGGCAGCGCAGAACCAGCTGTAGAAGGGAATTTCCCATTAATAGCTGAGATTTATTCGTATTATTATTATTATTGCTTTTAATTGATTATATTTTCAAAGTGCATTGTATCAAGATGAATGCTCCCATCCTTTCCCAGCTTTAATGCATAATAATAATAATAATAATAATAATAATAATAATAAATCTTCAAAGTCCCTCCAAATGGCAGCCATAGGGCATCTCGGGCTGCCGACCTTGACAAGCCCTCCCTCCGTTTCCCCAAAGCGGTTGCATAATTGATTAATTACTTGTCACGCACTGCCTTTGTTTTCTACCCGGCAACAGCCTGATCGTTGATTTAATGAATGGCGGGCGAGGTTAATTAAACAGAGGCTGGGTGACTGTCTGTTGGGAAAGCTTTGACTGTGTCCTCCTGCCTGGCAGAAAGGGGCTGGACCGGATGCCCTTTGGGGGTCCCTTCCAACTCTATGATAGATCTATAATATCTATGGCTGAGTGGCCATCTGTCGGGAGGGCTTTGACTGTGACTTCCTGCCTGACTGAAAGGGGTTAGACTGGATGCCCTCTGGGTACCCCTTCCATGATAGATTCTATGATATATCTATCTATTCATTTCTCTAATCTGTGGCTGGATGGCCATCTGTCTTGAAGGCTTTGAATGTGCCTTCCTTAATGGTGGAAGGGGGTCAGACTGGATACCCACTGGGCGGGAGTGGCTGGACCTATTGGGCGGGAGTGGCTGGACTGGATGTCCTCTGGAGGCCCCTTCCAATGCCATGATAGATATATCCTAGAATAAAGTGCATCTGCCAGGAGGGCTTTGACTGTGCCTTCCTTCCTGGAAGATGGGGGTTGGACTGGATGCCCTCTGGGGACCCCTTCCAACTGTATGATAGATATATCATAGAATATTGTGCATCTTTATCTATCTATCTATCTATCTACTGTATCTACTTCTAGATGCCTTCTGGGGGACCCTTCCAATTTCATCATCATCATCATCATTATTATTATTATTATTATTATTATTATTATTTCGTATCAAAAGCATTGCATAAATTATCATTGATATCAATGATATCATTGAATATAGTCTATTTATTTATCTACCAAATCTATTTCAAGATGTCCTCTGAGGGCCCCTTCCAATATTATTATTATTGATATTATTATTTCATATCAAAAGCATTGCATACATTATCATTGATATCAACAATATCATTGAATATAGTCTATCTATTTATCTATCTATCTAATCCAGGTTTTCTCAACCTGGGGGTCGGGACCCCTGTGGGGGTCGTGAGGGGGTGTCAGAGGGGTCACCAAAGACCATCAGAAAATATAGTGTTTTCTGTTGGTCATGGGGGTGCTGTGTGGAAAGTTTGGTCCAATTCTATCGGTGGAGTTCAGAATGCTATTTCATTGTTGATGAACTATAAATCCCAACAACTACCACTCCCAAATGGCAAGGTCTATTTTCTCCAAACTCTGCCAGTGTTCATATTTGGGCATATTGAGTATTTGTGCCAAGTTTGATCCAGATCCATCATTGCTCGAGTCCACAGTGTTCTCTCAAAATCTCAAACTACAAGAAAGGAGATTCCATCTGAACATGAGGAAGAACTTCCTGACTGTGAGAGCCGTTCAGCAGTGGAACTCTCTGCCCCGGAGTGTGGTGGAGGCTCCTTCTTTGGAAGCTTTTAAACAGAGGCTGGATGGCCATCTGTCAGGGTGATTTGAATGCAATATTCCTGCTTCTTGGCAGAATGGGGTTGGACTGGGTGGCCCAGGAGGTCTCTTCCAACTCTTTGATTCTATGATTCTATGATTCTATAAAGGTGAACTACAACTCCAAAAACTCGAGGTCAATGTCCACCCAGTATTTTCTCTTGGTCATCGGAATTCTGTGTGACAAGTTTGATTCAATTCCATAATTGGTGGAGTTCAGAAGGCTCTTTGATTGTAGGTGAACTATAAGTCCCAGCAACTCCAGCATTACCAAATGACATAATCAATCACCCCTAACCCCACCAGTGTTCAAATTTGGGCGTATGGGGTATTTGTGCCAAATTTGGTCCAGTGACTGAAAATACATCCTGCATAGCAGATATTTACATGACGATTCATAACAGGAGCAAAATGACAGTAGTGAAGTAGCAATGAAAATACTGTTATGGTTGGGGGTCACCACAACATGAGGAATTGCATTAAGGGGTCGTGGCATTAGGAAGGTTGAGAAATACTGATCTAATCTATGTCTAGATGCCCTCTGGGGACCCCTTCCAGTATTATTATTATTATTATTTTGTATCAAAAGCATTGCATAAATTATCATGAATATCAAAGATATCATTGAATATAGTCTATCTATTCATCTATCAACCTAATCTATTTCAAGATGTCCTCTGGGGGCCCCTTCCATTATGATTATGATTATGATTATTATTTAATATCCAAAGCATTGCATAAATTATCATTGATAACCATGATATCATTGAATATAGTCTATCTATCTATGTCTAGATGCCCTCTGGGGGCCCCTTCTAATTTATTATTATTATTATTATTATTATTATTTCGTGTCGAAAGCATTGCATACATTGTCATTGATATCAACGATATCATCCAATATAGTCTATCTATCGAATCGATGTCTAGATGCCCTCTGGGGGCCCCTTCCAGTTTCATGATGAATATATTGCAGAATATCATCTCTTTATCTCTCTATCTGACCTTTTTCAGGACGGAGGCCTCGTGCCTGGCGCTGGCCCTGGAAGGGGAGCGCTCCTGCAAGGCGGGGGACTTCCGGGCGGCGGTGTCCCTCTTTGAGGCGGCCCTCCAAGCCGGGACCCCGGAGCCCCAGACCCTGAGTGCCATCTACAGCCAGATGGGCAACGCCTGCTTCTACCTCAAGGAATACCCCAAGGCCCTCCAGTTCCACAGCCACGACCTCACCTTGGCCAGGTAGGCCCCAGCGCAAACCCCATTGGGTTGGAGACATAGATGGAGACATAACAATACACAAAGAGAATTCCAAATATTTGGTCCAGATATTATTATTATTATTATTATTATTATTCACTTCCTTTAGATGGATATTCTCATCCTTTCCCAGGATGATGATGATGATGATGATGATGATGTTGTTTACTTCCTCAAGATAGATTGTTCCATCCTTTCCCAGCTTTAATGCATTATTATTATATTATTATTATTATTATTATTATTATTATTATGTTTTTGTTGTTGTTGTTTACTTCCTCAAGATGGATTGTTCCATCCTTTCCCAGCTTTAATACATTATTGTTATTATTATTATTATTATTATTATTATTATTATTATGTTTTTGTTGTTGTTTACTTCCTCAAGATGGATTGTTCCATCCTTYCCCAGCTTTAATACATTATTATTATTATTATTATTATTATTATTATTATTATTATTATTATTATTATTATTTTGTTGTAGTTTACTTCCTCAAGATGGATTGTTCCATCCTTTCCCAGCATTAATGCATTATTATTATTATTATTATTATTATTATTATTATTACTACTACTACTACTACTACTACTATTACTACTATTACTACTGTTATTACTACAACTACTTATTTTTATTATGACTCACTTCCTCAARATGGTTAATCCCATGCTTTCCCAGCTCTATTGCATTATTATTATTATTATTATTATTATTATTACTATTACTTATTTCCTTTAGATGGATATCCCTACCATTTCCCAGCTTTAATGCATCATCATCATYATYATTATTATTATTATTATTATTATTATTATTATTACTGTTATTATTACTGCTACTTATTTTTATTATGACTCACTTCCTCAAGATAGTTAATCCCATGCTTTCCCAGCTCTATTCCATTATTATTATTATTATTATTATTATTATTATTATTATTATTATTATTATTATTCATTTCCTTTAAATGGATATTCCCACCCTTTCCCAGCTTTAATGCATTATTATTATTATTATTATTATTATTATTACTATTGTTACAACTACTACTACTTACTTTTACTATGACTCACTTCCTCAAGATAGTTAGTCCCATGCTTTCCCAGCTTTATTGCATTACTTTTACTATTACTATTATTCTTCACTTCATCAGGAGGCATTGTCCCATCCTTTCAAAGCTTTAAGGCATTATTATTATTATTATTATTATTATTATTGTCATCATTCACTGCCTCAAGAGGGATCATCCCATCCTTTCCCAGCTTTTTTGCAGCAATAGACTGTGGCCAAACCCCTGAAACTTGCCACCGAGCATCTGCCGTTCCTTCGCCGCCTGCCTTAACGCAGATGCTGCTAAAAGAAAAGCCCAGCTAGACAGAGAATGAGGAAGAGGCCTTGTTTTCATCCTTTCTCTCTGTCTGCAGGGCCCTGGGGGACCGCATTGGAGAGGCCAAGGCAAGCGGGAACCTGGGAAACACCCTCAAAACCCTGGGCCAATTTGAGGAAGCTGTTGCCTGCTGCCAGAGGCATTTGGACATTTCCCAAGAGCAAGGAGACAAGGTCGGGAATCATACTTCATTTTATATTATTATATTATATTATATTATATTATATTATATTATATTATATTATATTATATTATTATATATATATTATATTACTAGCTTGGGTACCCAGCGTTGCCCGGGTTATTTGAAAAAGTCAATTTTCTGATTGTACAAAATTCATAATGGTGAACTACAACTCCCATCATGAGAAACTCCATCAGTACTTAACGTTTGTTTTGTTGGGAAAATTTGCTCTAGCTGCATCATGGGTGGGGATCAGTGTGCTCTCTGGCTGCAGGGTGAACTACAACTCCCGCTATGGTGAGCCAGTCCCCTCCAACCCCTCCAGTAGGTTGAGTTAGCCATGGGGGTTCTGTGTGCCAAGTTTGGTCCAAGTCCATCATTAGTGGACACCACCATTTCTCTGATTGTGGGTGAACTGCAACTCCCAGAAAGGAAGGTCAGTTCCCCCCAAATCCCTCCAATAATCAAATATTGGCATCTCGGGTATGCGTGCCAAGTTTGATCCAGATTCATCAGTTTTTGGGTTCACAGTGCTCTCTGGATGTAGGTGAACTACAATTCCCACAAATCAAGGTGAATTTCCCCCAAAGACCCCCAGTATTCGTTGCTGGCCATGGGGGTTCTTTGTGCCAAGTTTGGTCCAATTCCCTCTTTGGTGGAGTTCAGAGTGTTCATGGATTGCAGGTGAACTATAAATCCCAGTACCTTCACCTCGCAAACTCCGATCTGATTCACATGATGGAAAGGGAGATGAAGGTTTTCCTGGGCCTGAATTAAGCCCAGGCGAGAGGCCCAAGGTGTCTCATGAACGGAGTGTTTCTCCTGCAGATTCACAAGGTCACATTCCTGGGAGAGGCCCTCAACAGCCTTTCTCTGAGAAACAGCTCCCTTCTGAGGATGATTTGTCAGGTGCAGAATTTAATGAGAGTGAAAATAGAAAGCAAGACTTTTGTAAACAGAGACAAAGTTCTCAGACCGTCGAAGGTCAATTCGTCTGCAGGAAAAGAAAGATAAGAAATCCTTATCTGGTGGTGAAGGCAAGAGAAATGCTTTCCTTTCGATTCTGGGGACAGGAAAAGCTTTATATTGATACAAGAGAAAGAGTTTGCTCAGTCTCGTCAATGTTGGGATTTCATTACCGTCTTGTTTCCAAGTGTATGCCTAGTTTCATGTACCATGTGATGATGGTTTCCTTGCAGGTTGGGGAAGCCAGGGCCCTGTATAACCTGGGCAACGTCTATCACGCAAAGGGCAAGCAGCTCTCTTGGAGTTTGCCCCAGGATTCTGGCCAAGGCCTTCCTCTGGAAGTCAAGGAAGCCCTGGAAAAGGCCTCCGAATATTATGGGTGAGTCCCAGTCCCCTTTGCAAAGCCACAAAAGCAGGGATTCATAGCAAAATACAGCACTGTTTTGGATAACGGTTCCCATTATCCCCTCACTAGCGCTGCCAGGGTTCCTAGGGAATATTTGGAGTTTGGTTCTTGGAAAATAAATATGACATAACAGCAACAAAATAATAATAATAATAATAATAATAATAATAATAATAATAATAATAATAATATAGCTGGGCCATGTCTAATAATAGTAATAACAATACATTAATGCTGGGAAAGGATGGGACTTGAAGTGAATAATAATAATAATAATAATAATAACAATAACAATAACAATAATAATGCAAATCTTTCACTCTCTTTTTGTCTTGTATGCAGACCTTGTCCCTTGGAAAATATATATAATAAAATAACAGCAACAAAATAATTAATATAATAATAATAATAGTAATAATAATATAGCTGGGCCATATCTAATAATAGTAATAATAATACATTAAAGCTGGGAAAGGATGGGACTATCCATTTTGAAAAAGCAAATAGTAGTAGTAGTAGTAGTAGTAATAATAATAATAATAATAATAATAATAATAGACTAATATAATAGAAGTGGTATTAATAAAAATAGTAATAATAATAATAATAATTCATTACGGTTGGGAAATGATGGGACTTGAAGTGAATAATAATAGTAGTAATAATAATAATAATAATAATAATGCAAATCTTTCCCTCTCTTTTCGTCTTGTATGCAGACCCTGTCCCTTGGAAAATAAATATAATAAAATAATAGCAACAAAATAATTGATATAATAATAATAATAATAATAATAATAATAATAATAATAATAATATAGCTGGGCCACTTCTAATAATAGTAAGAATAATACATTAAAGCTGCGAAAGGATGGGACTATCCATTTTAAAAAAGCAAAATAGTAGTAGTAGTAATAATAATAATAGAGTAATATAATAGAAATTGTATTAATAAAAATAGTAATAATAACAATAATTCATTAAGGTTGGGAAACGATGGGACTTGAAGTGAATAATAATAATAATAATAATAATAATAATAATAATAATAATATAATGCAATAAAGCTGGGAAACTATGGGACTATCCATCTTGAGGAAGTAAATATAATAATATAGTAATAATATTAATATAATAATGATGATGGTGATGCAAATCTTTGTCTCTCTCTGCCTTGCAGGCGGGCCCTGTCTCTGGCGCAGTGCCTGGGGGACCGTGCGGCCGCAGGGCGGGCGCTGGGCAACCTGGGCAACTCCCATTACCTGCTGGGCCACTTCAGCCAAGCCATCCTCTTCCACAAACAGGTGGGTCTGTCCCCATGGCCTCCCTTGTCTTCCCTTTCCTTGCTTTCCCTTGCCTTGCCTTGCAAGGGGGTCTTCCCCTCCCTCCCTCACCCTCCTCCTCTCTTCTGATTGGTCGCAGCGCCTGGCCATCGCCAAGGAATTCGGGGACACGGCAGCCCAAAGGCGGGCCTACAGTAACCTTGGCAACGCCCACATCTTCCTGGGAAAGTTCGACCTCTCTGCTGAGTTTTACAAGTGAGGAGCCTTCCTTCCTTCCTTTGAGGAATAATAATAATAATAATAATAACAATAACAACAACTCCTATTTGTAACGTTTGTGAAATTGAACTTGGTAGGTTACAAATTATATTATTATTAAATTACTATTATATTATGATATTATCTTATTATAATACTGTTATAGTATTCTACTATTAACTCAGTGGATTGCAAGTTATATTATTATTAAATTACTATTATATTATTACAATAATATGTTATTATTATACTGATATAGCATTATACTATTAACTCAGTGGATCACAAATTATATTATTATGATAATATTATCATATTATTATAACTCAGTGGATTGCAAATTATATTATTATTAAATTACTATTATATTATTACAATATATTATTATAATACTGTTATAGTATTATACTATTAACTCAGTGGATCACAAATTATATTAATAAATTATATTCTATTATGTTAACATCACATTATTATAATACTGTTATAGTATTATACCATTAACTCAGTGGATTGCAAATTATATTATTATTAAATTACTATTATATTATTATGATATTACATTATTATTATTATTATTATACTGTTATATTATTATACTATTAACTCAATGGATTGCAAATTATTAAATTACTATTATATTATTATGATAATATATTATTATACTGTTATAGTATTATACTATTAACTCAGTGGATCACAAATATATTAATAAATTATATTATTATGATTATATTATCATATTATAATACTGTTATAGTATTAAACTATTAACTCAGTGTATTGCAAATTATATTATTAAATTACTATTATATTATTATGATAATATTATATTATTATTAATTATATATATATATATATATATTATTCTGTAATGTAATACAAATATCTGGTTGCTCCTGACACAAAAAATTAAATAAATAAAAAATATTATTATGATGATACTGTTATAATATTATACTATTAACTAAGTGGATTGCAAATTATATTATTATTAAATTACTATTATATTATTATGATAATATAATATTATTAATAATATATATTATTAATAATATATATATTATTATGTAATGTAATACAAATGTCTGGTTGCTCCTGACATGATAAATAAAATAAATAAATAAAATATTATTATTATAATACTGTTATAGTATTATACTATTAACTAAGTGGATTGCAAATTATATTATTATTAAATTACTATTATATTAATATGATATTATATTATTATTATAATACTGTTATAGTATAATATTAATATTACTATTATTATTTATGTTATATTATAATAGTATAATATTACTGCTCTGTTATATTACAATTATTACAATATATTACATTATTATTTTTAATTTCCTCGATCCAGGAAAACGCTTCAACTCGCCAGGCAGCTCAAGGACCCTTTGGTGGAAGCGCAGTCCTGCTATAGCCTGGGAAACACCTATTCGCTCCTCCAGGAATACGAAAAGGCCATTGAATACCATTTGAAACACTTGACCATTGCTCAGGAACTGGGAGACAGGTCAGGTTCTGCTGAATTTGCTATCAAAGCATGGGATTTGTAGTCCAAAGGGCCTTCTCTTGGGCCGAGGAGGGAAATACTATTCCCCTATTCCTGGCTGCAGCCACTAGAGGGAGACAAAGCGCAGGTCAAACCTATTCAGATCCCATTTAAATAATAATAATAAATAATTAGTGGGTCGCCTTGAATTTGCTATGTTCCAGAAGCATTCTCTCCTGACGTTTCGCCCACATCTATGGCAGGCATCCTCAGAGGTTGTGAGGTCTGTTAGAAACTAGGAAAATTGGGTTTATATATATGTCATAGTATGTTTGTATTCTGGGTTGCTGTCACTAGAGGGAGACAAAGTGCAGGGTGAACCCATTCAGAGCCCATTTAAAATATAATTCATAATAATATAATTAGTATTATTATTATTTTTAAAAGTATTCTTATATTCTGGTTTGAAGCCACTAGAGTGAGACAAAACATAGAGTCAACCTGTTCAGGGCCTATTTAAAAATATAATAATAATAATAATAATAATAATAATAATAATTTGTATAATTATTTTAAAATAGTCTGTTTATATTCTAGTTGGAAGCCAGTAGAGGGAGACAAAACATAGAATGAACCTGTTCAGGGATTATTTAAAATATATTATTACTATTAATAATAATAATAATGATAATAATAAATTGTATTATTATTTTAAAATGGTCTGTTTATATTCTGGTTTGAAGCCAGTAGAAGGAGACAAAATATAGAGTCAACCTGTTCAGGGCCTATTTAAAATAATAATAATAATAATAATAATAATAATAATAATAATTTTAAAATAGTCTGTTTGTATTCTGGTTGGAAGCCAGTAGAGGGAGACAAAACATAGAATGAACCTGTTCAGGGCCTAATTAAAAATATATTAATAATAATAATGATAATAATAATTTGTATTATTATTTTAAAATAATATGTTTATATTCTGGGTGGAACCCAGTAGAGGGAGACAAAACATAGAATGAACCTCTTCAGGGCCTATTTAAAAATATATTATTAATAATAATAATGTTAATGATAATAAATTGTATTATTATTTGAAAATAGTCTGTTTATATTCTGGTTGGAAGCTAGTAGAGGGAGACAAAACATAGAATGAACCTGTTCAGGGCCTATTTAAAAATATATTATTATTTTATTAATAATAATAATAATAATAGTATTATTATTTTAAAATAGTCTGTTTATAATCTGTACATATCCAACTTATATTGAGGCTTTCATCAGCATATATATGCTTATATTTTAAATGCAGAGTTGGAGAAGGAAGGGCTTGCTGGAGCCTTGAAAACGCCTACACTTCCCTCGGAAATCACGAACGCGCCTTGCATTTTGCAGAGAGACACCTTGAAATCTCCCAAGAGGTAAACAATAAACAATGGAGAAAAAAACCATATGGCAAAGCCTGAAATAATAATAATATTTATGATTATCATTACTATTTCCCCATACATATATATGATGCTATAAGGCAACGTCTTAAAGGACTATTATTATTAATTTTATTGGGCACATCCATATATAATGCCAATAATAATAGCAACAAAATTTGTATTATTTAATAATTTAATAGTACAATAAAAGCTGAAATAAATTAAAATATAATTACATAAAGTAATAAAATATGATGTAATCGTAAATCATAATTGCAAAATGATAATTGTTATAATATAAATTATTAGTAATATTATAAAACAGTAGTACAATAATAATTAAATATAATAATACTAATAATAGTTTGATTTTCAGATTGGAGACCCCAATGGAGAGAAAATTGCCTCTGCAGCCATTGACCAGTTGAAGTCCATCTTGGGTCCAAAGGAGAGAAATGACCATTTGGATGAATTGGCTTCCAGCGCAAGATACGAAGGGCAAGGTCAGGGAAAAGCAGCATAGGATATCTATCTATCTATCTATCTATCTATCTATCTATCTATCTATCTATCTATCTTATATCTATGGCTGGATGGCCATCTGTCGGGAGGGATCGGATGGTGCCTTCTTGCATATTAAAATGAGGGTTGGACTAGATGACCTTTTGGGGTCCCTTCCAACTCTGTAAACATATAAATTGTTTACTTTTGCTCCTGACAGTGATTTGTTTACTTGTCACTATGGAGACGGTCAGCAAGCCCCGCCCCCAAAAAGGGCGGGAAAAACACACACCTTTTTGGTCCAGTTTTCCTTTTGGGTTCAGAGCACAAATTCAGCAACAAAATAGGGAAATATTTATACTTAACACTCCCAGGTTTAGAATATTATTACTATTATTACATTAACATATATTTTTATTATTTTATTATATATATTATGTTATATTATATTGGTATTAATGTTATATATTTTTATTATTTTATTATATATATTTTATTATATATATTATATATATTTTATTATATATTTTATTATATTATATTGTATTATATTAATGTTATATATTTTTATTATTTTATTATATATATTGTGTTATATTATATTGTATTATATTAATTTTATATATTATTATTTTATTATATATTATATCTTATTTTGTATTATATTATTATATATATTATATCTTATATTATTTTGTATTATATTAATATATATCTATTAATATATTGTATTATATTAATATTATATATGAATGTATATTATATTATATTTTATTAAAATCTATAAAATATATACATGATAAAATTGGATTAAATATTAATTAGTAATTATTATTACTAATATATCCTAGTATATAAGGTTATTATAATTACATTGTTACTTTTATACTTAACACTCACAGGTTTAGAATATTATTACTATTATTGCATTAACATATATTTTTATTATTTTATTATATATTATATTATATTGCATTGTATTAATGTTATATATTTTATTATTTTATTATATATATTATATCTTATATTATTTTGTATTATATTAATATATATCTATTAATATATTGTATTATATTAATATTATATATGAATGTATATTATATTATATTTTATTAAAATCTATAAAATATATACATGATAAAATTGGATTAAATATTAACTGTTATTATTACTAATATATCCTATTATATAAGGTTATTATAATAACATTGCTACTTTTATACTTCACTCTCACAGGTTTTGAATTTTATTGCTATTATTACATTAACATATTTTATTATATATATTATGTTATATTATATTGTATTAATGTTATATATTTTTATTATTTTATTATATCTTATATTATTTTATATTATATTAATATATATTAATATATTATATTGTATTATGTTAATATTATATATTAATATATATTATTATATTATATTTTAATTTATTAAAATCCATAAAATATATAAATGATAAAATGGGATTAAATATTGACTGTTATTATTAATACTAATATATCCTATTACATAAGGTTATTATAATTTCATTATTACTTTATTGTGTTATTATTTTATACTATTATATATTTTATACTATTATATTTTATACTACTATTATTTTATTATATTTTATTATGTTATGCCTCCTTGAGCTGAGTCCCTAGAGGTGAAAGGCAAGGTAATAAGTAGTAATAATAATAATAGAATAAATGCATTGAATGAAATAATAATTCAAGATAAATGCATAATAATAATAATAATAATAATAATAATAATAATAATAATAATAATAGGATAAATGTGTGGAATGAAATAATAATTCAAGATAAATGCATAATAATAATAATAATAATATTTCCTGTCTCTTTTCAGGTGCAAAGCCAAAGCGGATACAGAGGCCTGGGATGAACAAGTTCTCTTCCGAAAAGGTAAGAAAGGAGAGCATCTTCATAGTGGAATTGATGCGGTTTGATGCTCCTTTGGCTATTATTACTATTATTTGCATTACTATTATTTCTATTATTATTATTTGAATGATTGTTATTGCAATTATAGATTTTTTTGTACATAGCACAGCACACATACACATTAGGTGGAAGTGTCAAGACGCTTGGACCTTATTATTATTGCTATTATTATTTTCTGTTGCTATTATTATTGCTATTATAGATTTATTTGTACATTATACAGCACACATGCATATTAGGTCCAAGTGTCAGACACTTGGACCTAATATACTATTTGTATTATTGTTATTATTATTATTATTATTAGACACAAAAAGACATAATGTCACAGCAAACAAGATCTCTATGCTGGATTTTGTATCACAAAATCACAAGTCAAACACTTCCGAAGCGTCTAGGGCTGTATTATTATTATTATTATTATTATTATTACTCCTATTATTTTAAACGAGATCTATATGCTGGATTTCGTATCACAAACTCACAAGTCGAACACTTCCCAAGCGTCTAGGACTGTGTGATGTATTATTATTATTATTATTATTATTATTATTATTATTATTATTATTCCTATTATTTTAATAATTGCAGGGAAATAGATTCCACCTGAACTTTAGGAAGAACTTCCTGCTCTTTGATGGTGGAATATATTGCCTTAAATCCCACTGATAATGAGGGGCTATCTGTTGGGAGGGATCGAATGGTGCCTTCCTGCATAATATCAGAATGGGGCTGGGCTGGATGGCCTTTGGGGTCCCCATCTGACTTCTCATTGTAATAATTCTCGGCAGGAACAGAATGGAGAGGCCCCTCCTCTGCCTCTTCGCCCCAACAGACCCAGGGGTCAGCGGTCAGTTTTGGAGGTCAAGCGTCCCTTGGAGACCAGCGACGTCCAGGTCCACGTCTCACCGCTGGTAAGGATTCTTACTTCTATTACTATTATGATTATTTCTATTATGATTGTATTGTCAATTAGTGAAGGTACTGCGAATCCCATCGTGCATGGTCCATCCTCCTCCAAATAGCACCTGGATGTAGAGTGGGTTATGGGGGCCCTGTGTGCCAAGTTTGGTCTTGATCGGTCATTGGATGAAGGTCACAGTGGTCTCAGAAAGTGAGTTAAAGTACTGCAAGTCCCATCATCCATAGTCTGTTCTCCCCCAAACCTCACTAGAATGTTGAGTTGGCCATGGGGGCTCTCTGTGCCAAGTTTGGTATTTATTGGTATTTGGTTGGGGGCCACAGTGCTCCGTGGAAACCAAACTGTTTGAAAGTACTACAAATTCCATAATCCATGGTCCACCTCCCCCAAACCATACCAGGACGTAAAGGGGGTCATGGGGGTTATGTGTGCCAAGTTTGGTCCAGGTGCGTCACCCGTGTTGTTCATAGTGGCCTGTGAAAGTGGCAGCCAATCAGAAAGCTGCCACATACACCTCCCGCCGCATACATACATACAAACACTGACTTTTATTATATATATAGAAGATAATAATATAGACATTACTATATTATTAATAATATTATATGTAATATATATTTATACTAATAATTGTACATGTAATATAAATATATATTGTATGTCTATTGTCGGAAGAGGGGCCGACCAAGGGCAAGGTGGATGGATGGCATCCTTGAAGGGACTGGATTCACCTTGAAGGAGCTGGGGGTAGTGACGGCCAACAGGGAGCTCTGGCGTGGGCTGGTCCATGAGGTCACGAAGAGTCGGAGACGACTGAACAAATGAACAACAACAACATTGTCGCATTATTATTATCATTATTATTGTTGTTATATCTATATATATAATAAAAGTCAGTGTTTGTATGTATGTATGTGGCGGGAGGTGTATGTGGCAATCAGAAAACTGCCACATACACCTCCTGCCACATACATACATACAAACACTGACCTTTATTATATATATAGATTATATTATTAGTAATAATAATATAGACATTACTATATTATTAGTAATATTATATGTAATATATAAATTGCATTGGCCTTTTTTGCTGCAGCATCACGCTCTCGACTCCTGCCATCTACTAATACTCGTAGATCCCTTTGAGATTCTTTTGCACATCTGTAGGAGAGATATTTGCATGGATTCCATCCTAGGGTGGCATTGGTCCTCCTTTTCCCCACTTTTGCTCAATCACTTGGCCCCCCTTTTTGCTGCAGAGGGTCCCATTGGAGGAAGAAGAGGAGGAAGAGGAAGAGGGGGAGGAGGAAGGCTTCTTTGAGCTGCTGAGCAGGTTCCAGAGGCACCGGATGGAGGACCAGCGCTGCCCTTGGGAGGAGGAGGAGGAGGAGAAAGGCCGTAAGTCCACATATCCCCATTATTATTATTATTATTATTATCATCATCATCATCATCATCATCATCATCATCATCATTATACTCATATTTATCATTACATTAACTTTCTTCGGGGGGGAGGGGAGTCATTTTTGTGCATGTGCTGCATTGTCATTTTTTGGGGGGGGGGGGGGTATGAGTGATGGTCACTCATTGCTCTGTTAGGGGTATAGTGTCCAAATTTGGTGTCAATTAGTCCAGTGGTTTTTGTTACGTTAATCCTACATACGAACATTACATTTTTATATATTTAGATAATATTATTATATTATATTATATTATTCTACTATAATATAATACAATGCAATAATATTATTTATATAAATATAGATAATATTATTATCTGTATAATATATGTTAATCCTACATACGAACATTACATTTTTATTTATATAATTTATATTATATTATATTATATTATTATAATATAATATAATGTAATAATATTATTTATATAAATATAGATAATATTATTATCTATATAATATACATTCGACATAGGAACATTACATTTTTATTTATATAGATAATATTATTATATTATATTATAATATTATATATTTTATATAAATATAGATAATATTATTATCTATATAATATATGTTAATCCTACATACGAACATTACATTTTTATTTATATAGATAATATTATTATATTATATTATAATATTATATATTTTATATAAATATAGATAATATTGTTATCTATATAATATATGTTAATCCTACATACGAACATTACATTTTTATTTATATAGATAATATTATTATATTATATTATAATATTATATATTTTATATAAATATAGATAATATTGTTATCTATATAATATATGTTAATCCTACATACGAACATTACATTTTTATTTATATAGATAATATTATTATATTATAATAATAATAATATAATACGATGCAATGTAATAATATTGTCTATATAAATAATATTGTCTATAGAAATATAGATAATATTATTATCTGTATAATATAACATTATTATATTATATTATCTATTTATATAAAAATGCTTCTGTTGTCCTTAGTACCCGAAAAACAAGAAAACTACAGGGCCAAATGACCCCAGATTGGAACGGTTGTGTTGCTAAAGAGCAAAGTATGGAACCCTGCACAGATAGTCAGCCAATGCGACTTAAGCAACGTGCAGTCACTGAAATAATACTAATTATAATAGGGGCCTGAGGCTGTGAGGATGCTTGCCATAGATGCAGGCGAAACGTCAGGAGAGAATGCTACCACAACATGGCCATATAGCCCAAAAAACCTACAACCCAAAAGAGACTAATCAGAGAATGCAAGCTGTTTATGGTGATTGTGTTGATGTGAGTACTGTGTGATGTTGGGCGAGTAAGTTTAAAGATGTTGAGGTGACACCTTCTGCTGTCAAGAATTCAATGACTGCATGTTGCTTACGTCGCATTGACCGACACTCTGTGCACGGTTCGACACATCACAGTATAATAACACAACCGTTCAATGCAAAGGCTTCCTGCCAAAATGGAACTGTAGAGGAGAGTCTACTGAACAAGCCAGTACCTGCCGCATAACAGTACTGCCATCTGTTGAGGAGTTACAAAGGTGGAGGCATTACTTTTCATTCAACCCTCATACTTCTATTTCTCTATCACATTCTGTCTATCTATATCAATCTATCTATCTCCATGACTCTATCTGTATCAATCTCGATCTATCCAGCGATCTCTATCAACGTCTCTATCTACTTCTAGTAGCATTCTCTCCTGACGTTTTGCCTACATCTATGGCAGGCATCCTCACAGCCTCAGGCCCTTTCCTTTTAAGCAGCTGAGGGGGAAAAGGAAGGGGCCTGAGGCTGTGAGGATGCTTGCCATAAATGCAGGCGAAATGTCAGGAGAGAATGCTACCAGAAGATGGCCATACAGTCCAAAAAAAGCAATATTATTAATATCGGTTGAGGAAATGGCTCAAATGTTGTGCGGCAGAGTGGGTCTAACCTGTGACCCTGTTTCCCCGCAGACCCCTCCTCCTGCCCCCCAGCGGTGCCCCCTTCCTCCTCCCCGCAGACGGAGCAGCTCCTGGACCTGATTGCCTGCTCTCAAGGCCGGCGCTTGGAAGACCAGCGGGCGCCTCCTTCTTCCTCGGGGGGAGGCGGCCTCCCGGGGCTCCGCCTCCCTTTTCTGCACAAGGAGGAGGAGCCTAACATAAGCCCCGCCCACCAGGACCCCGGAGGAAGCAGCAGCAGCAGCAGTGAGGCCTTCTTCCAGATGCTGATCAAGTGCCAGGTATGTGCAAGGGAGGGACAGCAAGGCCACAGACACCCCCCAAATCTGGCCCCGCCCGTCTGGGACCCC